TGTCCTTTGGATGAAGTTGCTTGGAGGCTGCAGGGGAGAGGAGGGCCTTGGTGGCCCCCAGTCCAGCAAGACCACAGCAGTGTTCCCGTGGGACCACAACAACTAAAAAAAGGAGCCAAAGGCTGGTGAGTCATCACAAGGGACTGGGCCCATGGCCCGTCCCATGGGAGGTGTTTGGAGTATGGGCAGTGGGGGAGATGGGCCACTGGAGGAACACTGGGGCATAGCAAGGACAGCTGATCTGCTCTCCAATCAGCACAGGTCCACTTAGTGGAGACTGGTCAGAAGTATAGAAATGCAGGGGGTGCAGACTGCTGAAAAGACTCAGGGCCAGACCAGAGTTTCTACATAACCCGGGTGTACCAGATCTCACAAGACCTGGAAGTACGTATAAAGTCAACCATTAAAACCTGAGCTGCACAAAAAGCCTTCCCCAGGGAATCAGTAGCAAAGCAGCAATTTAGCTCAACCACAGGGCTCCAGTGCTGGTCCCCACAGAAGTTCCCCCATTTTAGAAGTAAGAAAAGGACCACAAATTAGTTCCAGTGCAGAGTTTAAGTGTAGGAACAGCGAATAATCCAACATAGAACTGAAAGAAAAAACAAAATACCCACAGACCAGAGACACAGTTTGATATTAACTAGTAAAGGTCTCACATCACCAAAGAACATCTATAACACCTAGAAGGACTGGAAGACCCTTGGGCTCCCAAGCCAGGGAGCAGGGAGGGCTGAGGGCCTCAGCCATGCACCCCAACACCCACAACCAGCCTAATGATGACCACTGAGTTGCTGCAGGAAGTGCCCCAGGCCTCAGCCACACACCCCCTGACATTTGCACCCAGCCCAGCAATGACCACAGAGCTGCTGGAAGCCCTCTGGTCTCTCCTGCAGCAGCGAGGGGGGTGCCACAGGCCTCAACCATGACCCCTCCTTCCTCCTTCTCCCACCCTATTTCCTTCCCCTTTCCCCTCTCCCACTGCCCCCCAACTGCTCTGCAACAGCATCTCAGAATGTAAAAAAAAAAAAGAGATTAATAAATAAATAAACAAAAAAGATCTGTAAATGTGGATATACAGAGTGTTTGTTCAAAATGTGCTTATTGGCATTTAACGTGGAGACTGTGACTTCACTTCTTTTCGTTGGGTTACAGCTG